AATTTAGAATGAGTGACAGGGTCACTGGGGTAGGGAAGCTGGCTTTGTGGTGGAGGGAAGTCCACAGAAGGTGGCCTTGAGAAGAGAGTTGGAGGTACAGAGCCCAAACGAGGGCTCCAGTCAAGGATGTGGCTTTGTCCCTCTCTGGGAACTTGTCTCTACTCTTTACTGTGTGTTTTGGGGCACTGCCACCCATGTCCCAGTCTCTGGGGCAGAGGTTTTCTCTGTGGCTCCTCACTAATCCACGCAGCAGTCTCACCTGAACCTCTTTTCAGGAACCAGAGCCCCCTTAAGCTGCAGAAGGGCTGTAAATGAGGTGGGATTCAGGGTCAGGCCAGGGAGAGACTCCCAGGCTGGAAGGGAGGGGGCTGGGCACGGGAGGCACAGGGGAGAGCAAGCAGGGAAATCCTCTGGGCTCAGACGTGGCTCTCCATCCAGGAGGCTGGCCTGGGAGGGATCTGGTTTAGAGAGGCCGCCACCTTTCCTGAGAAGACCTGGATCTCAGAAGTGGCCCTGTGCTTCTTCTCAGCACATTCTGATTCCCAGTCAAAAGACAGTTGGCAAAGGACCACTGCTTATTAGACATTGTGAAAAGAGTTTCCACTTCCTTTGAATTCCCACAATCGCCCCTGGAGTTAAAGATGATCGCCTCCATTTTAAAGAGGAAGAAACCGGGGCTCTTAGAGCTCATGCCACTTGCCCTCCATCACAAAATCAGTAAGCTTGAACCCAGGTCTGACTCCAAATTCAGGGTTCTCTCCCCGGCAACCCATCTAAGCAGCACCGTGCTCTGGTCATTACACATTTTTTCTCATTTATAATTTAACGAATTATAATTAAGACCTGTCTGCTTTCCTTCTGGGAGATCAGCAAAGTTGGAGTTCTTTTGGGGGGGTCTGGGAAATACATGCTCCCCATGGGATGGGAAAAGGGAGACACAATCAAGTTACTTTTAATTCTCCCTTTCGCCTCTTGCTTGTTTGAGCTTGAAAGCAATTGTGCTGTGTAAATTAACAGAATTTTGCTCCAAACCCAAAAGGTCACTAAACATTTGCAGATCTTGAAGGCACTTTTAAGGGTGAACCCAGAAATGGCTTTCCAATCCCAGGAGCCCTGTGTGGGTTAACTAGGCTGTGGTCCCACAAGTGCCCCTGACCCACTATTTGACCTTGGATCCCTGAGGGCACCTCCCTGGAGTTCAGGGAGGGACTGCAAGTGGGTCTATCAAAGTGTAACCTGAAAAAAAGGAGCTTGTAGGGAAGCTATAGAACAAATATACAGCAATAACTAAAAGGTACATTACCTGAGCAAAATCGTAAGTATCAGTGGACTACATCAGAAACCTAAAATATACTCAGCTGCCTATAAAAGTTTACCAAATGAAAGCATTTCTCAAACAATGTACAAAGGATGTGTTTCTTAATAAGTGACATTGGTGTAACTGGATAGGAGTAAGATCTGGGTGGAGTGAAGGTTTAGACCATTTCCCCCCGCTAAATCATAGAAAAAGTAGTAGAAAATAGAAGTATATATTTATGAAATTTGAACAGGGCTGAAAACTCTCTCAGGCCCGAAGCAATCGAAGGAATGGTGAAGGAAAAGCCCAACAGGTCAACTAGAGAAAAAAATTAGACATTATTTTCCCATGATATTATACTATAAGAACAGATTAATATTTATGGTAACTTTAAAATCTAGTATTTGGGAAAACCATTAAGAGCCCAAGGATATGAAAAGATAATTCTTTCAAGCAGAAGTTAAAATAGGAAACAGAACATGGGACATGGGCCCTGGCTAGGTAGTTCTGTTGGTTAGGATATTGTCCTGATATGCCAAGGTTGTGGGTTCAATCGTGGGTTGAGGCACATATAAGAATCAACCAATGAATGCATAAATAAATGGAACAACAGAAGTGATGTCTCTCTTTCTCCTCCTTCCTTCTTCTCTCTACCTACAATCAGTAAATTAATTTTTTTTTCTTTAGATAGGGGAAGGGAGGGAGAAAGAGGGAGAGAAACATCAATGTGTGGTTGCCTCTCACATGCCCCCTTCTGGGGACCTGGCCTGCAACCCAGGCATGTGCCCCTGACTGGGAATCGAACCGGCGGCCCTTTGATTCGCAGGCCGGCACTCAATCCACTGAGCCACACCAGCCAGGGCAGTAAATAAATTTTTTTTTAAATGATGGGCAAGATGGGAGGTGGGGGGAGAGGAGTGTGCTCTTCAGGCTTCCTGACCGCTGTAACTTCTAGGATCTATGGGGAAGACTAAGGAAGGGGCAAGGGACAACATGTTCCACACCTACTGGAACAGGCCAGCCGAATGCCCAGAAAGCCAGGGGGCCTGGCTGAATAAACTTCCAAGGGACTGGGGTCACCTGTTCCCCTCACTTCCCAACTCCCACAGAAGGCATCCAGGCCATTTAGTTGAGGGGTAACCACAGAAGACCAAAAGGCCAAGGCTACAGCTTCCAGCCGTTGGGGTCCAATCAGCTTCATGCTGGGTCAAAGCCATTCTATGTGCTGAAGAACTAGACAGCATGGAGAAGCTGGTCCAATCCCATCCCTAACACCTGGAAAAAGGTCCCAGCAGATTCCAGTTTGAAACCAGCCAACCACTGGTGTCCCTTCGATCCAGGAGGGAAGGGCCAACCAGGGCCAGCCTTCCATCCCGCCGACCCTGTGAAATGAGGTCCAGGGCCCGCCTGCCATCCCCAGCCCAGAGTTCTTTCCTAAGAGCGCCAAGTTCAACATCGCCAAATCCTGCCTTTAAGCAGGCCCAGGGGAATGTGTGTCCCTGTGAAGCTTCATACCTACTCTTCATTTAGCCCCATCAGGGGAATGGTCCAGGGTTGGCTTCACAAAGAAAGTGGATGAAGGCAAAGGGGCTGGACATCTGCCAGAGGTCAAGCCCTGGTTCTTCAACACAGAGCACCAATGGAAAGGAGGACGACAGAAACGGGCTTCTCAGGCCACGTGAGGGATGGGGAGTAAACAGGCAGCGCTTGTGAGAAAGACAGTGTTTGTTCAGAGTAAGTTTGGGGAGTTTCTCTCCTCGCACGGACTTTGCCTGTCCAGAACGCTTGCTGGTGGGTCTTCCCAGCAGCAGGGGAGCATCTCTGCGACACTCGGGACCTCCCTCCAGTGGCAGAAACTGAACTGCACAGACCACCCACTAATGATATTAGGTGCTTCCACATTCTCTCTGCTCCCTCCAATTCCAAATTCTTCATCCTAAAAGTTTTCCTTCACTCATCCACACAGTTTGTCTAAAAATGTAAACTCACTCCCAGGGGACTAGCAAGGGAAATTAATCAAATGAGAAAAGCAGACGCAGACAGAGAAAAGCAGAGTGATACGCTGTGTTCTAGGTTCTGATTCTAAATCCGACGAGAAGTGTGAAGGGCTGGCAGCCCGCTGGTCGGCATCGGTGGCAGCAGCGGCTCCCGCCTGCCTCAGGGCAGCAGGCCAGCAGCTTGTCGGAGCTGGAGGGAGAGTGGGTGGCACTGAGGAGCAGGAGAGATGTGCCACCCATCGGGACAGGAGCCACTGGGTGCTCCCCAAACCACAGCCAGGCCTCGTGTTAAGGTGGATGACACCCCATACCCCCAGCCCGGCCCCGCCATGTCTTTCAAGCTGCAATTCCATGTCTCCGGTCCCATCTGGGCATCTGCATTTAGCTGGCTCCTCGAATTGAACTGGTCTGAAACCGAAGTTGTCATTTTTGCCAGCCCCTTCACACCAACCCTGACTGTTCCTTTTCCTCCTAAATTCAGAATCTCAAAGTTATATGCCATATTTTGCTATGTATTATGCACACTTTTGCCCAAATTTTTGAGGGGAAAACATGGGCAGTGCTGAACCGTGGGTGCGCATTATACAGAGGAGCGCATTATACACGGCAAGATACGGCATGCGGTTCGGCTCATCTCTTCAGCCTAGTCAGGTCCTCTACCTCTCCATCGCTGTGTCCCTCTTCCTTACGGTCATCTTCCAAGTCAGGGTGCTGTGTGCAGGCCCACAGCAGTTCTCCTAGCTCGTGTTTCTCCTCCCTGCAGCCCAGCCCCCCTCCCTCCCACTACCACACAGAATCTTCCCGAAGCATGGCCTGGATCCCATCGCACACCTGCTAAAAAACAAAGTCCTCCCCTGCCTCCAACAGGATATAGTTGGTCTGGGCCAAGCAATTTTTTCCCAGCTTTATCTTCCTCCCAACAAAATATATTCCTTCTGACCCAATCAGACCGGTCTCTGAAAGTTGCCCAAACTTCATGGCACAATCACTGCCACCCCAGGACCTCAGTGTTCACCATCCCCCCACATTGGGACATCTCTTGCCCCCTCTCCTTCTGCATCAGGAACAAAGAGGCAGAAGGAAATACACAGCAGCATTCAACATGAGTACCAAGCAAAGAGAACCACTTCCTGGCAGAAGGTCAAATGCCCATCTCTGAATTCCGAAGCTGGCATTGACTCCGTTCCATTCCCCACACCTAGACTTCAGGTGTTGCAAATAATCACCTACTATTTACCCTACACCCTTCCCTCCATTCCTGCCAGAAAAATAAAAGTCAGCTTTCAAAAGAGCCCGTATTGTGAGTAACCCTCCAAGGATGGCAGGAGTTTGACCTCACTGGTAGCCACAGATCTCTGAGAGTCAGGGGAGAGGAGAAGGAGGGATGTGAACCTTGGCCCTTCCCCTCCCTTGCCAGGCCTGGCTGCCATCCCCAGACATAGAGAGACCAGCCCCGGCTTTCCATATGTACTGTCCAACTTCTGCCTGGTATAAACCCAGCTCTAGTGAAGCTGAGTTTAGAGGAGGAGGAAGGGGAGGATGTCTCAGGGGAGCCCCCTGCCAAACCTGGAGAGCACCGTGTAGTCAGTTTCAGAGATGCTCTAAGCCACACCCCTACCCCGCATCACCCTCTCAGGAGTGCAGAGCAGGGAGACCGATTTCAGGAAGAGCTGGAAGGAAGGAGAGGGATATAACTGCTCACATACCTGATCAAACAGGACTTTCCAGTGCTGGTAGAGAGGGAGGCCGTGCAGGAGAGGAGGAAGAGGAGAGAAAGAAAGAAACACACTTATCACCAAGGCTTCTGTGGCCCCCATTCCTGACATAGCTCCCCCCCCCAGCTGCTCCCCAGGTCCAGGGACCCATGACAAGAGACCAGGGATAACCTGGGGAGGGCTCCCCAGATGAGTCTGGGCTGAGCAAAGCATGGGGGGGGGGGGCGGCTCGAGGGGGCAGGGGAGTAGAGAGGAGTGTCCCTCCTTCCAAAACAGGCAGGCCGAGGGATGAACAGAACACGGGTGATTCTCAACGATGACTAAATAAAGGCATCCAACTCTGTCCAAGGGCCTCTAATAACTATAAAGCTTACATCCACTTCCGCTCCCGGGCCAGGGAGTGCATACCGGGGCTCCACTCCATCAGACCTGCTGCAGTGGCCTCAGCCTGCTGGGGGCCCAGAGACCCCTCACTCAGAAAACTCACCCCTGCACAAACACTAACATGCTCCCTGCAGTTTGGGAGGAAGGGGCGCCCCCAATGTGCTGAGTCTAAGTGAGAAGCGCATGAGGACATGAGGTTCTACCAGGGCTTTGGGGCCAGAAGCAAGCGAGAGGTTTAACTACGGGAGCCCAAGCGCAGGAAGATGTCAAGCCCTCCCAAGGCACATTTAGTCTTCGGTCTTAGGTTTGGTAGGTTGGGCTGGCGGGGCGGGGAGCAGGGAGGCTGGCTTCACTTCCGTATCCTCCCCCCTGAGAGAGCCACGGGGCAGGGCTGAATGTCTGCCCAATTTTCCACCTCTAAGTGCAGGTTAACCCCGAGAGGGCCGGGCTTAAGAAACTCCAGTTCCCAGGACTCCCCAGTGCCGGCTACGCAGCTGACTTCCAGGACCCAAGGGGGGGAGGAGGCGAACTCGAGCAGCAGATGGCAGGGAAGCCCTCCGGGGCAGCCCCTCCCCATCCTCTCCGGGGGGCCGTCGCCGGTGCCGACGCGGGCTGGGACTCCGGAGCCCCCTTCTGGGAACAAAACGGCTCTCAGCACTCCTGTCCCTTCTCCCGCCGGGTTCAGGGAGAGGGGCAGCTTGAATTTCAATCGGTGTCGCGACAGGGCAGGTGCCCGGCAGGAGTTAATTCGAAAGAGAAGAAGGGGGTCGTCTGAGGGGTCCGTGGTGCAGGGTTCCAGGGACTCTGCGGCGCCCGCCCCTTCCTGGGGCTCGGAGAACCCGCAGGTCGCCAGTGGGAGGGGAGGAGAGTCACTGCTGTGACGCGGCCGCCGCTGCGGGAAAACACTGTGTCCCGGGCACTGCACCAGCCGCTGGGAAGGGGCTCCAGCGGCCGATGGGTCTCCAGCTCAGCGGCGGGGGCCGTGTCTTGCAGGGAAGCCGCGGGAGCCTGAGAGGGGGTGGCGCTCGCGCTTTGGGGGAGACCGGTCCCTCCGCTCCCTCCCGCCCGCGGGGACCCGGCCAATCCGGGGCGCTCCCGCGTCACCTTGAAACCTCCAAGTTGCCGAACGGAGGTGAGTCTGGGGCAGCTCTCCTCCTACCGCCCCCGAGAAAGTTTGCCCGGGCGGGGGAGGGGGCACTCACGTCCTCCGGCGCCGCGGGCGGCCGCTCGTCGGCCTCGGGTTCTAGCTCCTCGATGCGCTCAGCCTCGGCGCAGGCGGCCACTGCAGGGCCCGGGCTGGGGTGCTCGCCCATGCCGACGCGGGATCCGGGGGCAGCCAGTGGCTGCGGCGTTCGTCCCGGGGCGCCAGGCTAACTTTGCGCCGAGGCGACAGTGCCGCCTGGGGGACTCAGTGCGCGCCGCGCCGCCTCCGCGCCCGCCCCCATGGCCCCGGCCCCCACGCCGCCGCCTCGCGACCCAGGGACGCCAGCCCCTGCGCCGCCAAACTTCTCCGCGCTTGCGGCCCGCCGCCCTCCGGCTCGGCCCCCACACCCAGCTCTGCGGCGAGGGCGCCCTTGGGCCAGTCCCAGCCCCGCGGCGCCCCGCGCTCCCTTCCCGCTTCTCGCGGCCCCCGCTCTGCGCCCGAGTCTCCTCCTCCCCACGGACTCCTCGCGGGCGGCGCGCAGGCGGGGGCGGGGCTGCTCCGGGGGACCGCCGTCCCCCGCCCCCCTCCCCCCGGACGCCACCACCCGGGCCAAATCGGTCAGAGCACGGCGGCCCGGGGAGGGCGGAGGGCTGCGGCGGGGCTGGCAGGCAAGTGGCTGCACCTCCCGGGCGGGGTCGGGGCTGCGCTGTCCCCGGCCCCTTCACTGCCGGCCTCCACTCCGGGTTCGGGTCTGTCTCTCTGCACCGGGCCGGGGGCGGGGGAAGTGTGGTGCAGTGTCCACTTCCTGAGACCCACCGGGTGAACGGTTAGTTGGAGGCAGCAGATGCGTGAAGGAGGCAGGAGGGTTCACTAAGTTGGCAGCCTCGGGGTTAACTGGCAGTGAATTGGGGGACGGATGCCGAGAGGAAGGGATCGCGACCACCCTTCCATCTCTCTTCGCTGAAGTCTCAGATTCTGGGAGGTTCAGGTAGGCCCAGTTATTCAGGGATGGGAGAAGTCAGGGGGGGGAGTCTCGGACCCCAAACCCTGAATCTCGCTGTCCCTACACCCGGAGCTCTATGACAGTGCCCAGGCTTCCCTGTGACCAGGCTGACAAAGGTCAGCCCAGGGAAATGCCCCAACTAAAGCAAGTAGGAATGAAGTTAGAGCAAAGGAATAGGGGGTATTAACAAAACAAAACAAAATAAAACAAAACAAAACAAAAAAAGATGGTGCTGTTTCCCTGCCGGAAAGACCTTCCAGGAGAGACTGCCTCCCCCAAGCAGAGGCTCTGCCTGTCTGTCACCCGTGCCAGTGGCCGCTGGGACAGGTGCCCATTTCTCCCAGGAGGACTCATTCCTGGTGCTGTCTCATGGTCGCCAGCCAGTACCAGGGCTGCCCCTTCCACTCTTCCTTCCTCTCGCCACCCACCCACCCACTCACCCGTGGTCCTTGCTCCCTCTCAGAGACTGAGGCTCTTTTCCAATAATGAAAACTGCAATTAATGCTCTGATGGCCATAAGGCAAACATCTGATCGCAGTCCCAGGTCCAACCTGTAACCACCTCACTGACAATGACCGCTCCTCTAAACACAGAAAAGGAAATTAACTTCGTTCTAATTAGGTGAGTTTGCTACAGACACCAATTTTCATCTCAGTTTCAGAAAGTGTGATCATTTCAACTATTTTTGTTTCTCACCACCATCCCCCCATCTCTACACTACTAACAAGATCCTGCCAAGATTTCCTTGTAAATAAAACTGTCTGCTTAGGGTGTGATTTTGAAAACAGCCTTCAGGGGACAGAAGAGAGGCTGACTTCTTCGCGGAATGAAGCCCAAACAGACAAAGGGCAGCATGGGGCGCCAGGGGAGCGTTCCTGCCTCCCCCCACCCCTGTCTGATGTCGCGTGCACGACCCCTGGGTGCTGGCTGTGCTATGCTTAGACCTTTGCAACGGGAGAAGCGGGCCAGGAGAGGTGGCTCCAGGGGAGGGGGGCGAGGGTCTCAGGTACCAGTTGGCCACTCTGCTGAGATGTCCAGCAGCCCTGGCAGTGTCTGACCGCAGCCAGCTGCCCTTCAGCTTCTGCCTCTTCTCCAGCCCAGGGACGGCTCTTATCCACATATCCAATCCTGTCACCCCCTCTGGTGGAGGGGACTTCAACAGGCTCAGTTCAGTTCCCTGAACATTTATTGAGTGCCTACTAAGTGCCAGTGGCCGAGCTTCGGGAGCACAGAGGTGGGTGAGGTCCAGACCTGCCCTTCTGAAACTGTTGCATTGCGGGTGACAGCCAGGAAAGCCCCGCTACAGAGAAACCCAAAGGAAGGGGTCCCTGTGGGTCCAAGAGGGCTTCCCGAAGGGGATGCCCCCCAGAACGAGGCAAAGCGCTGCAGGGGGCATTCCGCGTGGGAAGAACGGCAGGCGTGGAGGCTGGGCTTGTGCAGCAGTGCGGTATACGGAGGGGGAACTACAAGCCATTTGGCATGGCTAGAAATTAGAGCCAGGTGCTCCGGGTAAAAAGCCCAGTCTGGAGGGAAGGGCTGGAAGAGTTCCATGAGAAAAAAAGAGCTTGGACTTTACCCCAAGGGCAATGGGGAGCCAAGGAAGGATTGTGAGCAAAGGAGTAATGTTTGAAAAGGTCCCTTGGGCCGTAGCGCAGAAGATAGACAGGAGGGAGGTCGGCCTGAGCCTAGGGAGACGGAGACGACGTTCAAGTAGGAGATTGTGAGGGCAGCAGCAGTAAGAATAAAGGGGAGAGGAAGGATCTGAGAAGTCTCTGGAAGGGTATCTTGTGCCTTCATCTGCCCTAGGAACATCTCTCCCCACCTTGGCAGGCAGTGTTTCCAAAAGTCTCCTAGGAAAGACTTCCCGATCTCTAACTGGAAGCCTCTGTTCAGGAACCGGTTTCCCTTCCTCTGGCTCCTGCTGGAAGGGGAAGGCATCTGGACTTGGAAACAAGCTGTGATAGCCAACATCCTCCGCAAACCTGAGGCTGCACGCTTGCCTTTTGCTCTCAGTGTTGCCTAAGACTGGACAGCTAGCCCATCCCACCTTCAGCCCCAGGGGAGTCTGCAACACAACCCTCTCCCCAGCGGGCAGCGGGACATGGGGCCTGGGACCCAAGACCCGAGACCTCTGAATGAGGCAAGGGGCCAGGCCATTGGATGGCTTTGGTCCCACTCCAACCTAAGGCAACTTGAGGACCAGTCGTTCTGCGCCGTACTGGGGACAGAGGAAGGAATGGGCATAGAGCCCATTCGCTGTCACTGAACGGCTGCCAGGAGCCTGGCACTTGTATTGCCTTCAAGAGACTGTTCACGGGCTCTGCCTTCAGAGAACCCCGGGTCTAGTGGGAGGAGACAGTAAGCAAGGGCCGACTTGACAGTAAGCAAGGGTACATTTGTACCCTGCTCCTCATTATGTAGGCGCTCTCACCCATGACCTCTTTTTAAGTTCCTAGCGAAACACTCTAAATCAATGCAGAGCGCGCCAAGAGCGGGGAGAGAGCAGCTGAACCTCCAAAGGGTCAAACGCCGTTAGTTGGGATGTGGGGGAGTGTGCTATTGCGATGAGCCTTAAAAGTCAGGCGGCTGTGGGGTGGTGGACGTGGAAGGGTTTCTGGGTCGGGGAAACGGTGCAGCAAAAGCGCCGAGTCAGGAAAGCCACTGCCCGCGAGGGGCGACGCTGAGCGGGTGAGCAGAAGCTGAGATGGGCCGGTGGGTGAGGACCACGTCGCAGGAGTCCTTGAGTGCCAGTCGGAGGAGATTGGACCTCACTCGGTGGGCGATGGAGGAGCGGCGACGGCTTCCAACTGGAGCAGCATTTTAGGAAGATTAAGTTGGCAGCAGCTCAAGAGTGCAATTTAACTAACACATTGCGAGTGTCCATTATTTGCCAGACCCTGGCTTAGGTGCTGAGAACACAAAGGGAGTGAGACCCAGGCCCTGGCCTCCTGGGAAAAAATTAGATAATGCTCTAATTACAGCCCAGTGGGCTAAGGGAGGAAGGGAGTTTTTGTGTTTTGGTTTTGTTTTTAGGATCCGATGTTCTGAAGCTGGGGTGGGGGTGGGGGCTGCAGTGGGTGAACCGGGAAAGCCAGTAGGAACCGCTGGGAGGGGGGAGGGGGAGGGGGTGAGGGGAGCCGAGGAGCTGGTCTGTGGGCAATGAGAGCTAATGAGAAGCCAGGGAGGAAACCTAAGAGCTGTAATTATGGCTCAAAGCAAGTGGCAGCACCGAGCCAGAGGATAAACCTTGGGCGTTGGGGGAGGCGGTGACTTTTCCACCAGAACCTCTCCCTCTTGGGCCTTTTCCAACAAGAGTGGCCCATTCTGATATCTCCCTCGGCCAGGTGCCCACCCTTCAAGGCCCTCTCTCTCCCTGAAGCAAACCCTAAACAACTCCAAACTGACCCTTCTGCTTCCTGGCCCCCCGTGGAGCTCCAGCCTACCCAGAAACCTGCCAACAGCCTCCAGCTGTCGCCTTGCCTGCCTGAGATGAAGACGTGAGTTATTTTTGACTGAGATCCAAGCCCCGGCCCTGAATTCTTTTGTCTTCCAGGAATCCCCCAGTCATGTTTGAAGTCTGCAAGTCCAAACAGCGGAGGAGACGCCACTTGGAATCCAACCAGCCTCCATCCGCAGCCCCAGCATTCTTCCCGTATTGCCCACTGACGTGGAGATCAAACGGCATAGCTCTGCTGCTCGGAGTCCATCCCCCGCCTCCCCCGTTCCCTTTTGTCTCTTCCTTTGTCACTCCAGGGCCCCTAATTTTCTGAGTAACTTAAATCATTACTGAAAGATGTCTAAGTTCACAGACACCAAACCCTTTCAAAGAGAGGCGTGGGAACCCAAAAAGGAAGCTCAGAAAAGTACAGAGGAAACTGTCTCAGGTCCCAGCTTTAGCCAATCATGGATTCGGGAAAACTATCGGCTGTTTGGCTGGGTCTCACCTTCCTGCTCAGCCATCTCCTCGGGGCTTGGTTGGCCCCCAGGGTCTCATTTTTGGGTTCTCTTTGGGCCTCTAACATTCTGTAAGATCTTCAGTTATGCTACACAGGTAGGTCCTGTCTCTTCAGTAACCAGTCCGTTCAATCGTGGGCGTAGCTCTGATAAACGCTACTCCTGCGCAGAGCCTTGCCTCAGTTGGCAGGCACCAAGGGGACCTCCTTTTCCTTGG